CATCATCGTACTGTCGTGTTTTCATCATCGTACTATCGCGTTTTCACCATCGTACTGTCGTGTTTTCATCATCGTACTATCGCGTTTTCATCATCGTACTATCGTGTTTTCACCATCGTAGTTTCGTGATTTCGTGTTTTCACCATCGTACTATCGACTATCGCGTTTCAGATTAACACATTCATAGGCGATGGCCCTAACGGCATTCCGGAATGCCGTTAGGGCCATCGCCTATGAATGTGTTAATCTGAAACGCGATACTCGACAGTACGATGATGAAAACACAAAATCACGAAACTACGATGGTGAAAACGCGACAGTACGATGGTAAAAACACGATAGCTTATCGCGTTTTCATCATCGTAGTATCGTACTGTCGCGTTTTCATCATCGTACTATCGCGTTTTCACCATCGTAGTTTCGTGATTTCGCGTTTTCACCATCGTACTATCGACTATCGCGTTTCAGATCAACACACTCATAGGCGATGGCCCTAACGGCATGCCGTACCGATGACATACGGACAAGTGAAGATCCAAACGCTGTTGTGTTAAATATAGGGTAGGTCCTGATTCTGGAGACCAAACTACACCTGCAGTTATGGGGAGCTAAGCTATTATCGACTCAGCTGCAGATGTCCTGACTAAAGCCGAGAGGAGTGGCCCTACAAAGTAGGCAGGGGTGACGAGGAAAAACTGCTAGGGTGCGTGAGCGTCAAGTGACCCTTCAAAAGCAGGACCTTAGCTGGCATAAAAGTCCTATTCATTGGTACCTCCCCCCTTTTCATATTGTCTCAGGTTACTGTAAATTTAGGTTTTCATTGACCTACTTTTGGCTCAATGTCTTTGGGTAATACTCCGTGGAAATTGCACGGATGTAATTTATTACCTCTTTGTGCTTCACAATTTAACCTTTAAGGGCATGCCTGGTGACATGTCTGGGGTCCGTATTCGACAGAAAAGCTGCATTTAGTGTCTTAACGGACTGGTGGACCCTCATTTAGCACGGATTTCAGTTATCAGCCATAATCTTGCCCGTGACATTACCAGTGAACAGTAGGACAGTCTAGAGGGAACACTATACACCTAAAACGAGGTATAATACAACAATACTAGATGCCATTTTGAGGGACATCTGTACACATATAGCAAGGTAAAATAAAACAACGCCATCTGAGTAACACCTGTACAAATATAACGTTGCATTAAACATTGTCAGATGTCATTAAGAGGAACAGCTGTACAAATATAAAACAAGTCCAGATGTCAGTTAGAAGGAAGCTGGATAAAATCAGCAAGGCACAATACAACAACGCCAGATGTCATTCAGAGGAACAACTTTATACATAAATTGAGGTATGGATGTCACTTAGAGAAAAGGCTGTACAAAAACAAGAAGGCAACACTAGATGCCCTTTAGATGAACAGCTGTACACATACAACGAGGCATGATAAAACAACGTCGGATGTCGGTGGCACACCTTAAACAAGGTATAACAAAACATTGTCAGATGCCATTTTGATGAATAGCTGTACACATTCAACACGGTAGAATAAAACAAATCCAGATTCCAATTTGATACTAGCTGTGCAAATATGTCGATGCATAAAAACATCACCAGATGCAAATTAAGGGAACAGCTGTACAACTATATCCTGGTATAATAAAACAACACCAGATGCCATTTCGAGGAAAAGCTGTACATATATATTCAGGCATAATATGCCATTTAATTGGACAGCAGTTCAAATTCACCTAGTGAGTTTTGATAATCTAATGCAGGAACGCCAATACAAATACATTGTATATTCAGGTATAATAAAGCCACATCAGATAGGCCTACCATTAAAGAAATAGTTGTATAAAATTAATTGAAGTTATGTATACATATGTATAGAGAAATAATAGGGACCATGTATAAATCATGTAGAGCAATAATTGATGCAATGTTCAGTAAAACAACGTATAAACTTATAATCATTGACAGTAAGGTGTACAGAGTTGCCATCTAGATACTTGTAAATAAAGTGGGTTAATTGAGAGACTTTTTAATGCATATCCTAAGGGTGATTCAGCAGTATTCAAGTGAGGAATACTGGAACCACCCAACAAGAAAATAGCCAAATAGAAAAAACGTAATTACCACAAGCACAACAATAATGTCGTGCTGAACGATCTTTAAGGATCGGAAATATAACATTGGATGTACGGGGCGACTTTTTACAACCTCCACACGGCACAAACAACGCTGATGTGGCGATAAAATAGAGAAAATAAGAATCCCTAAAGAAAGTCCAACACGGCAAAATTGAAAATGATGCAGGCACGGTTTGATTGAGCCTGTTCATGGACGGTATTGTAAAGTGCAAACTACCGTCCACGCCCCCCAGCACCTAGCCAAGTTCATTTATTGTCATAATTCAATATGTATCGTAATAGCGGCGCAAAAGCATATAGTTGTTATGCAAACTAAAAATATTAAAATATAAAACGCATACTTTGTTTTTCTAACAAAATTTTAATTCATAGATCATTTGTAAATGTTTCTTGTTATAACCACCAAGGACACCTAACTTTTAGTGACACCAAATTTATCTTATTTTTACAACTTTACAATGTACATAACCAAGTACTCTAATCAATTATTCTGTTGACCACAAAACGCAAATGACAGATAATGCCCAGTCTGAAATATATTTTATTTACACTGTTAGCAATTAATTTAATGCAGCATCTACAAACAATATGTATTATTATAAAATACCTCCCTTAATACTAATAAAATGACGCATTCAAAATGCATTGGATGCTTACACTTCAAAATACAATGAAATAAACCAAGATCTATGACTAACATAAATTTCGCCCGGGATATTAAGTCGTGGCGGGACATCAAAGTTAACATTTCACGAGTAATAATTTACTATTACACCATGGATGATATAAATCTAGTGGTGTAATGATATGATAGATGATTATCTAATTGGGTAATTTTACATACCGATAATATTCTGCACTATAAATACAAATACCGACCTTGCTCTTTTTCTTTAGCTAGTTTAAAATGGTGGCAAGAAAAGCTGAACAGCTTTAAACATTCACCAAATAAAAAATGCGTTGGTTTGCATCATAAATAAACAGATATTCATGGGGAGGCATGCTCTTTACCCACTACCAACAGATATTAAAAGGCCCAAAGATCTACGTTTAATAACAAATGAAATATGACTTTTCTTCCCGATAAACAAATATCCGTCTGTATATTTACAGATAGTAAAGTAATATATTAAACACTTGAATAATTGATTTGATGTAATTTATTGAACAATTGATTTGATGACTATTTTAGATAAACTATACTTTTCATATACTTTTAATATTAAAATGAAATTGAAACTGTTCCCAAGACGACTTATAAAATTATGCCTATTATAATTATCTATTTACATGTATAAGAAAATTCAAAACTGTTTGTAGGCTTTCTCATTGGCAACAATCAGATTCATTTAGAGGCGGTCTTTATACACAAGTGGCAGTACAAAGCAAGTATATCAAATTTAATTATATGAATCGTATTAATATACAGGTGATCTGGGGAATCTAGATATAAACAAACACAACAACACTTCGTTTAGTGAGACCCCAAATGAAAAGAATGGTCGATTTATACAAGTGGCCAATATATTGACAATAATATCTGCAATAAACGCTAAAAGCGTATTTGGAAATTCAGTGAAATGAATGGTCGTTTCATAAGATTCAGGTGGTCAAGATATTTACAACCAGTATATCGTAAATTAAATGAATGGCCGTTTAATACAGGTGGTCACAGTCTTGCGCAGATTTTTTCATCTACCCTTAATTTACCTTTACTTATGTTTGATGATTTCTATGAAACATTTAAGTATGTAGTGTATGTAGTGTATCATTTTACCCATGCTTTACAGTAATCACCGTTAAGGTAGCGCACCTACTTATGGACATCATTTCAAACCTTGTTTTATTACTAATTTTATAGTATCACTGTCTTTTCTTCAAATTTCAAGTGCAGCCTTCCATAAGAATAAAAAGTCATGATTTTTTTTTTTTTTTTTTTTGGGGGGGGGGGGGGGGGTGTTGGTGGCTCTTTTCCCTCATTTTCTTTACTCCTGTAAACAGTAGGATCGTATTACAAATGCCCATGTGGCGGGAAATAAGAGTAGTAACTACCTTAAAGAGGTGACAAGAGCTCATTATCGTTTAAAATTTAACATACTATACATGTATAGGTTTATCGCAGTTTAAATATTTACACAGCTCGAAAAGGAATTTGATACCTTACACATTTTATATTTGAAATTAGAAAGAATATTACCATGTGAATGGATAAAAGATTCACTCTCATATTTCAATCAAGAATATTATAGGTCTTATGGTACAATTACAAACCAAGAAGTGTTATTATGAATAAGGTATTTACAAGTGAAATGATTTTTATAATGCGAACAAAAAAAAATAACAAAAAAACGACAACAAAAAGACACACACAAAAATACAAAGTTGTGACTTTGGAAAAATGTTGGCAGGTTTATTAATTTGCGAAAAAATATGTGATATATATATGTGTGTATAACCGATCGAAAGAACTGCGGAACGTTATTTTAAGATTTCCATATTTGAGTCCCAGTTAGTCCTAACATTTTTACAGGCATTAAACTTAATATTTTGTGCAGTATTTAAACACATTTTGAAACGAAAATATGAAACGAATGCGAACATTGAGATACGTTCAATTAAAGATTCTTTAAAAATGAATAGAAATAGATTGTACACTTATCTCAAACTTAAAACTTCAAAATTTAGAGTGTCGAAGTCCCACACGATCTTTAAATCTTGGCGAGATAATACTGTAGAAACTGAAACATGTTTATCATTTGTTAAAATAGCCGTTTAATATAGAAGCAAAAATTCCCGTAATTTTAAAATATAAAAATAAAGAAATCATAGAGACTACAACTTACCGTCGACTAGTAATAATCCCAAATTGCTAATGCCAACAATTAAGAAAGCAAGTGTTTCTTTTTTTACTTCCGGTTAGTTACTTTTAATTATCCAACTTTTTTTTCCAATTTGACAATTAGTCATCACATTCCCTGTACGACTTTAAGCTCTTATTAAGTGGTTTGTTTACTTTATAAATCACAACATTATATGTATATATATGTACACATTTTAATACACATGTAAACAGGGGCAAAATAAACGTTTGGGTGAACACATTCAGTAAATATTTTATCAGTGGAGGTAATCCATACGAGTACGAAATCAGTTACACCAATCAGAAACAGATACAGACCAGGAAGTTCGAACACCCGTTTTACTTAAAAGTTTAACCCACATTGTCAAATAGGAGAGTTTCTAGCCTTTTGGAGGGCATGCCACTTCAATCACAGCGGACATCTGTGTAGAACCGTTAGCAATTTTCAAGGCTTACTGCATAAAACAATATGATCTCAATCAAACATTAAGTGCTTGCGTCATCGGGATACACTGAAGATCCTTCCCAAAAAGTTACTTGATTGTGTCAATGTTTCGAACAGAATTCAAAGATATTGTTTATAAGCTCGAGTACACACATGATTCATTCTACGTACTGCTTCCAATTGAAGCTAAATAAGTGAAAATTAATTAACCATCTCGGTCACCAAGCTTCATAAACTGCAAAAATAGAATTTCTCAGGCCTCATACTTTAACCTTCTGTACACTATTATCGTCGAAAAAATCGATCAAATTAAGAAGATCATAATAACCTTCCCTTAATGGCTGAATACATTGAATGAAGATCAAGTCAACTTTTTGAAAGGTGGTATAGAACGTCCTAGTTCAACATTTAAACTTGCTGACGCGTGTCTTAATATACTAGAGATCCAGATAATCTATATGAGCCGCGTCACGACAAAACCAACATAATGGGTTTGCGACCAGCATGGATCAAGACCAGCCTGCGCATCCGCGCAGTCTGATCAGGATCCATGCTTCTATTACAAGTAGAGGAACTGATAGCGAACAGCATGGATCCTATGTTGGTTTTGTCGTGACGCGGCTCATATGTATTTACAAAACATGATAGTTGAAACTGACAATACGAAAAAAGAGAAATGTCATACAGAAGGTAGAGTATTTGCATCTTTTAACTTGTCAAAAACGAAAACTTACCACGTCGAGGATATCGTTATATGATAAAGTAATCAGAAAAGTAACATAATTTTTATACATCGTACAAAATGGTCATTATGAAATTGGATATTTAGAAAATTTCAAGCTTAAATTAGGAGAACACATTAAATTTGACAGTCAGAGCATTATCTTTGCGGCCATGATGGAAATTATTATAATACATGTATTATATAAAATACAACATGGATGCTTAAACATGTTAGTTTAATAATTAAATTAAATTCATATATTAGTTCAACGATTTTAAGAAATATAACCGCCCTATGAAGAATATTTAAAAGATCTGCATGCATGTGTAATTCTAAATGCATTAAGCTTTCAAAATACGAATAAATATATTGATGCTCATATGGAAGATATCTGATCTGTTAAGTAGTAAATATGTATACAAGTACGTCACAAATTCTTATTTACAGGTATTTTAGCTTTTGAACAGGTGGTTGTGTGTAATATACAATATAGTCACTACCGTGAAACCCTTATGGCCATTTTATTTGTTTACAGATACCTTTAACACAGCCGCACTCAAAATCGGCATTTACCGATTTCAAAATATATTTAATTGTTACTACATAATGTATTTAAGAAAGGGAAAACGGTGAGTATAAAAAAGAACTCCGTAATATAAACCCCGGATAATTTTAGTGCTGCTGATTAGTTAAAAGGGTCAACATCCATAACCAATTATCTATGGTTTGTAAACACGATCTGTTTGAGCAATGTACATTACAAAGTGTCATTCTTAATATCACGAACTCAACGCCATTAGTCCATCGGCCCCTTATCTTAAGGTTAGACTACTGTATTAATTTTCCCATAGACTTATATTATAAGAAATGACCACTAAACGAATATCCATGCTTAAAGATGTGAATTAGAATGACATGCCTGACACATTAAATAGATCTTGTAATATAGGGTTGACCGTCCAAATTTTTCGTAAATGACCCCAAAGACGATAACCCTCCCTTTCACTGAAATTTTCTGCTGATCACAGGACTGACATAATTTTTTTATTATACTTTTTAAAATGCAAATATCCAAATGAGAAATTATCCTAGACACTTATGAAACAGTTCATTTTCTTAAGCAAACAATGCAGTGTTAGTTCATACTTGTAAACATTACATTTTCATCCAATCACCTGATGTCCCATCGAATCTTACGGGTTTCCTGCACTTTTTTGCAGCCAATCGAAAGCCATGGTACAATACAGTTATCTGACCTAAAGGAGTTTCTGTGTAATGGTGTTGCACCGCGAAATCGTGTGTTGATCGAGAGGAAGAAGATGGTGATTATAAAATGGAAGTCTGAAGTTTGGATTCGTGAGTTTGTTTATTATTGCATAGTTTGTTCTTAAGCATTAGTTGTAGACCTTGGAAAATAACACTGTTTGCTTCAAACCACTTGCCGCTCACCGGTGTGGATTAGGACTTTGGATTCTTTCATGTGAAAAAGTTATCCAGCTAGCTTACGGAACGTCGGTGGTTCTATTCAAGTACCTGTTCGTGCACGAAATAATGCACACAGAAACAACTGAGGTCTTCGTCCACTAGAAAGCTAGAAAGTCACAATAGGCCATTTACAGTGTTGGTGCGACATAAAACAAGGCAAAAATCAACAACAACAACAAACAAAAAAGCATCTTAATTTGATATCTGATTTTACAAATAAAGTATGTATCTATTGTTACAAAAGACTGTTATCTACAGCTACCACATCAATCTTGCCATTTAAACATGTATGAATAGAATATTATTATATTAAGAACTTCTGTTTTTCAGATAATTCGCATTGTTTTAATTAAGTATACATGAATGGTGTACATGCAGACTGTACATTGTACTATTATAATTACAGTACATATGTCAACATACGATAACTTGTGCACGTTGCCGAATTGACCAAAATTAAAAGTTGTGTACATTGAGTAGGACTATATTAATTAAGTGTATATAATGATAATTTGATAATTAAACTTGTGTTCAACAATTTACTGATACAATAAAAATTATTATAATTTTAACGTTTCTAATGTCTTTAAAAGATTTTTTTTTAAAATGTGTCAACTGAGAAATTAAATTGGCAGGTCTGTTAAAATGTCAGTATTATTAATCTACAAACATGTACTATTTTACTGAATTTGTTTACTGCAAACTTGTATGTTCTAATACATTGGGTTTTTTGTATATGCATTTGCGTTGAATTTCGATCTTTTAAAAAGTCAGGAAAACACGACAAACAAAGTATTGTTGAAATAGAAAAAAGAAAAGAAAAAAAATTAAAATTGTTAAAATGTATGCCGGCATTTATCTCTTAAATGTTTACAGTTAGGATAACATTACATCACCCCACTGGTCATTTGTAAGCAATAAAAACAAAAGTTTTTTCTTCACGATGAAGACATATTATTCCCCCTTAGGGTTTTGATGAAGTGTCAGTTAAAACATCGGAAAATTCGCTGAGTGATTACAGATCGATTACCAATGATCGAACTTTTTCAGCGGTAGGCAATCCCATACTGTGTTTTATTTAACAATTGAATAGTTTTTTCCATGTTAATAGACGATTTTATTTGTTTAAAAATGTAGTTTGTAGAAGATTCGATTATTCAAATCTCTGTACGGTGATCCAGTCAGCGCCGTCACTTAATAATGTCTTAATAAGTAAATGTGAATCAAAACGCAGACGTAGACTATCAAATATTGACGTTATTGACAACGTTGTTACGTATCTTTACGTAATTTTGACGCGTGCATTGTTATTAACGTAATATCAGGACTAATTATTTGCATATTTGTTCGTTTGATTTCGATGATTTTCGTATCGATACAAATGAAAATTTTCGTTCGAAAGAAAATGGTTACTGTATAATACGGGAGTTAAGAATGTTTAAAATGAAAACTTTACTGTACAGCTTGGCTGGAGTTTTACTATTATTTATCCCATTGGCGTCAGGTAGGGAAACTTTTTCTTTGAATGTTAGTATATTCTATAAAATATCATAGTCGGATTGCAACTTTACCT